CTATGATTTTTTGGTAAGTCCTTTTATATAATGTAAACAATAATTATCTAATTTAATGTTTTTCCAAAGTTTGAATTTTCCCATGTTAGATATTATTTGGGGCATATAGTTCCATAACACATCTAGTAATCCAATATCCTTTTATAATATATAGGAATTCATTTAATACTTTCTAAATTTCCCTTACTAGAAAATTTGGTTTTCTAAACTCCAATGGCTCGTAACTAGAAGTAGTTCACACCTTTTTCAAAAAGCAGCTTCATTCTGTCAGCTGTCAGTTTTTCTATTCACAGTGTTACAAGCTGCCATTTTATAATAACTTTCTAAAAGAAGCAAAATACAATCAAATAAATATGTCACCATAAATAGGTAGAAAATTCTTGGTTGAAATTTGATTTTTGGAAACATTTTAACATTTATTTCATTCAAAATAAAGGTTGAAACAAATCATAACAAAATAAGGAATACCCCAAATAAATATAGATGGGAATTACAGACCTGAATTAAATTTTTTCTGGAAAAAAATGTTTAAGCCAGAATCCTAGAGAACTAGAGCTAAAAGTGCCCCTATAAGTACTGCATGTCCTCCCCATCCCCATTTAACAAGTGAGAAAACTGAGACCAGAAAGGTTAGATTAGTTGCTGTATTCTGCACAGCAAAGATGGAAGGCTAGGACTAACATCCTAGCTCAGGGCCCTCTCTGTCACACCATACTGCCTCTCTCGCTTCCCCTTCTTGACTATGTAATAATAGTAGTAGCTAATAATTTTTGAAAGCTTACTGTGTGCCCGGTACTGTTGTAAGTGTTTTGCATGTATTATCTCATTTAATTCCCACAACAATCCAGTGAGGTAGATAACAATTGTTTCCATTTTACAGATGAAGAAACAAATAATAGACGTGCAGAGTTTCTATCTTTAGGATGAAAAGTAGAAATTCTCCTTTTTTAGTTGTCTCCTAATTTTTCATCAGTTTGTTTAGATTATGACGATATTCAATAACGTTTTAAAAATATGGTTATATCCATAGTGGAAGCCTCTTTGAGTAGGATTACTGCTGGCATTTAATTGTGATTGTATATGATGTTCCACTTTGCCTACCTCCTGACTGGTCTTCTGACTTGTAGCCTGACTCTGTTTCAGTCCTTTCTTCATGCCACACGTTACTGTAGAATTCACTTTCAGAAATGCAACTAGATCATATCGCTTTCTTGCTCAGCCAGTCTGGCCTATGCTGGTGTTAATCAGACTGAAAGACCAGTTTCCACAGGATTGCAAATACAAGAGCTTCAGTGAGCCATACAACTGTTGGGTGATAGGAGCTGTGTCTACAAGATGAAATACTTCATAGTCAAGGTGTAGAGTAACCAATAGAAAAATGGGCAAATGATATAAACAGTTCCAGAAAAGGAAATAAAAACAGCTGTTAAACAAAACGTTGGACTTTACTCATGATAAGAGAAATACAGAATCAAACAAATTATAAACTATCTCTGAAACGACACATTAAGAACCATTGCCTTTGGCCAGGGGATTTCGGTGGTAGGAGATAGGGACATATATACCCTTTTTAACCTTTTGGAATTTGTACACAGTTACACAAGTACTGGAGTAACATGGATTCCACATATTTAAATAAAAAAACAAATGTAGAAATAAAAACTGGCTTGTTATCCTAGCTGGAAACTACATCTGAATGTGTGGGGTATTCAAGAGTTAAAAGATACTCATGGCGCTGTATAAACCAGGAAATTAGCATCATCATCTTTTGTACATCACATTACAGATCACAGAACACTTGCACTTGTTATCTCAGTTGATCTTACAGCATCCTCACCTTCATTTTAAGATGAGGAAACTGAGGCTCAGATAAATTATGATTTGCCTGAGGTCACACAGCCAGTTGGATCAATTCTGTACACACTGCAATATATTTATGTACACGTCTGTCTCCCCTACTAGATTCTGAGCTAGTGACACAAATGAAACTATAATCTAGGCCTTCTCCTCTCCGTTGATTGCTGTTAGCTGATGATAGCTCAGAAGGGAGTCAGGGAAATTATGTCACCTTCTCCTGTCATCGTTTTAGGGATACATGGAAGGGGGTGAGTCTCACCAAAATTAGAAAACAAGATTTCAGGAAGCCCTTCTAAGTGGTGCCGTTGCAAAAGCACACCGAGGAAAAAAGTAGCTTTCTGATTCTAATTTCTATGGAGAGAGGTGGATTCCATACCCCATAGAACCATGTCCCTAAATAGTAGAATTTGATGCTGTGACACATTCTGTTTGAATTAGCTTTAACATTCTACCTCTTTTGGAGCCTTTTCACAAACTTAATTTTCTGCAAAACGCCAGTGATGAGTGAGATAGTTCAAGTGGAACATGGCATATATATTTTTAAGTAAGTAAACAGTCAGAAATAAAGAAATAACTTGCCCAGGTAAGAATTCTTAGAACTCATGTGAACAAACCTTAAGCCTGTAGTAAGGGTCCCAGAAGCAACAATGACTTAAGGATGTACCATACGTATTATCAGAGGTTCTAATCCTTCCACATGGACACTTTTGTGGTTGAAATGACATTTAATGCTAATTAAAGGACCTGTATTATTTTCCCTAACGAAAGAAGAAGAAAACAGTCCTTCTCCGAAACAAAGAAAAACCCACACAATCTGTGCGGAATTGAAACACATTTTTATTAAACAGGCCTCTATGAAACTCTTGAGAATTTTGTAGTAAAGCTTAGATAAATATTTCATGTAACATCTTAAGATGCAATCATTTATAGTAATTTTAGTGCTCTGATTTCTGTTTGTTTTCAGATTTGAAAAAGCAAACATTTTCTATGATGATTTATATCTGGGAGCTGCCAATTGAGCCCAATTTCATAAGGCTTATCTTTATAAATAAATGAAATAGGATAATAAGGAACAGCTCTACTTACTTTTATTTTATGTCTGTCTCTTTAGACAGAAGCAATGTTAAAAGATCTTTTTCTTTTTCTTCCTGAAGTATAAACCGTGGCTTTGTAAATGCCCTGCCCCACTTAACCCCCGAAGTTTAAGCTGACCTTGCACCCCGGCATCCTCCTACCCTCGGGCTGCCTCAGTAGACTCTCTGGAAGCCACTGCTCTACGTTCTCCTCTGGAATAGGCAGCAACCTCCCCTCCCTGCATCTCCAGCATAATAGGACCTTCACCTGTCACCTGTGCACTCGCACCAACCCAACTCCTGGGTTCTGAGAGTTATTTTCTACGCTGCTGTTTGTTAGTATGCTAGTTTGATGATATTAGTGTTTTCTTAGATACGTCCTGATTTGGGGTACTCTTTGTCCAAATGAATATTTCATACCTGGTTCTCCATACTCACTTATTTGCCTGAACTGCTGTTATATGGATGTACCTTGACATTATAGTTGTGCATAATTTAAAGATGGATTCTCTTTATCCATTTGGAATAACTAGCCGCCAAGCAGCTACTGTGTTGTGCCCAGCACTCTGTTGAGTGTATGAGGAATTTAATGTCCATTCATTCAAAAACGAGTTCTTGATACCTACCATGTGCCAGATGCTCTGCTGGGAGCTTACGAAGCAATAGTGAGCACAGACATGACCCTGGTCCCCTGGAGCCTATGTTAGCAGAGAAGAGAGATAAGTGAGCCAAAAATTTTAAAAAAGATGATTACCGGTTATGAAAAGTGCTGTGAAGAAAGACAGGTGAAAAATAGCAAGGGATGGTGCCCATTCAGGTTGAGCGGTCAGGGAGGCGGACCTAGAGGATGAGAAGAACCAGCGGGCAGAAGAAAGAGGGAGCAAGAGAGAGAAACTTTGTTGAGGGAAGGAGCTTGACGGTACCTTCTAGGAACTGTCAGAAGCCAGTGGACTTACAGGGTGATGAGAAGGAGAGAACTGTGGGAAATGGCTAAAGCAAGAAAGGCAACAGCAGACAACAGATCTCACTGGCCAGAGTCAGATGTTGGCATTTCGTTCCCAGGTCCGGTGGGAAGCCTTGAAGGGTTTTATGCAGGAAAGATATGCACTGATTTCCTTTTTTATTCCTGAAAGATAATTCTGGCACCTTTGTGAAAAGCAAACCGAAAGGAGCAAAATGGGAGGTGATGCTGAGAGAGAGAGTTAGAGGCTGAGTTAGACCGTGGCAGCGTGTGGGGAGAGAAGAGGTAGATGGGGCGACGCTTTGGTGGACGTGGAAGTGGAGAAGAGGAGTAGCTCGAGAGGCATTTCGGAAGCAGAGGCAACAGGATGTGCTGATGGATCGATCATTCATGCGGGAAAGAAGGGAGGGAGGAAGGACTCGTGGGTGTCAGGAGTTTCTGACGTGGGCATCTGGGGGAGTGGTGGTGCCATGGGCGGGGATGGGGAGACCACGGGAGAACAGGTTTGCGGGAGGAAGTCAATATCAATAGCAGAATACACCTCAAACCCTCCAGTTGTTTACAGTTTTATGCAGCGCTGTTTAGGAGTCAAGGTAAACCATTGCTCTTGGAGATCAGAGGGGAGAAAACCAGTTATGTGCAGGAGAGATCTGGGTGTTGGCCTGGGGTCAAGAGAGGGGTGAGATGTTCAAGTGGCCGGAGACATGCGTCTCTGAGATCAGGAAGTGAGCCAAGGCTCTATGGGGGCGTGTACAACGAGTCCAGCCAGGCAAGAATGGAGGGCTTGCAATAAACGGGCCCTAGCTCTTACTGTTGCTTTTTGTAGAGCCCTCGTATATACAAGAGGTCAAGGTTACTTGCCTTTTCTCCCTCTTCTCCTTTCCCTGGTTCAAGTCCACCATCCACTGGGCTCCTGGGAAGTGTAATGAGAGTTCAGTGTTAGGACCAGGGTAGCCCCCGGGGCCCCTCCCAAATCCTCCACACTAAGTTTGAGGTGTCTTTAGGTGTTTCTTTAGGAGAATCTCACAGCACCAACCTTCTCCTTCCCCACAATGCCATGTCCATTTTTGTCACCTGCGTTTATATATTTCCATTTATTTCCCACTTAGGTTTTATGGCAGGCACACAAAGAAACCCTCAGATGTCTCAGTATGGACCTCAACAGACAGGACCATCCATGTCGCCTCATCCTTCTCCTGGAGGCCAGATGCATCCTGGAATCAGTAGCTTTCAGCAGAGTAACTCAAGTGGGACTTACGGTCCACAGATGAGCCAGTATGGACCACAAGGTAAAAAAAAAAAAAAGTTTCTCCAAAATGCATTGCAGTAGGTTGCAGAAATTTTGTTAATAAATTAGTCCTTCAAGGTCTAATATTATAAACATCTTTTAAGATCCTATTATTTGTTACCTGATAGATTTGTGAGGTTAATGCAAACCCACAGTCCTTCAGTTGCCCATAGTGATGGGAAGAATAATTATAGCAACTGTTCATTAAGCATTCATGCATCAGACACTGTGGTAAGTTCTCTTCATACACGTGTTATTAATAAAGGAGTAAATCTTGGTTTCTATGAGTAGTTGAGGAAAAGACCCAAGCCTTCTCCTCAAAAAGTTTCTGTTTTAGAACTTAGGTTTCATTATGCTGAATTCTGATTTTGGCCCCTCCCTCTCCTTAGTTATCTTTATAACAATGTGCTCACTACTCAGAAAGATGTCGTCCCCTTACATCTTCTCCTGGTTTGTCTCCAAAGTGCTGCATCAGGTAAATAGTAGTTCTGTTTTCCCAATCATCTCCAGTCTTACTCTTAGAAACAGGACAAAGCCTGAAATAGACACATCTTTTAAAAAGGAAGATAAGGGAAGCATAGAAAAATGAGTGGAACCATGCACAAAATGCACTGTGTTCTGCCTTCCTGGAAGTTGGTGTATGTTTTGTCTTATACATGTAGAAGCCTTTTATCAAGGTTTTTAACCTGATATATATATTTTTTTCTAAGTCACTTTTGGCAATAAGGCATTTGAATTTAGCATCTTCTTTATATTTTGTTTATTTGAATTAGACATTAATGGATAATTTAGAGAGAATGAGATAATCTGGCACAATTCCCAGAGTTTCCTCACTTCTGAAAATACCAAGAATATTCCAAGTGAAGATGATGCCCACTAGGAAATTGTAGTAAAATGTTTACCACCTCCACAGCAAAGTCAGGTCTCCTTACGTTAAATAAAGCCGTATGATGTTCTAGAGGCGTTTGCATCTGATTAGCAAACTGTGCTATGTTGATCCTCTCCAGCCACTGAGTAAATGCCTACAAGGCCAGACAGTTCTATGAGGAGCCCCAAGCACCGTCTCGGCCTTTTGCCTAGTGTTTCTCAGAAGTTTTCCTTTCTGTTTATAGGACTTCACAGTTTGAAAACTGAGTTATATTATCTTGTTTTTTGAAGATCTCTTCCTGAAGGATGTTAAGCACTTTCAGTACTACCAATGTAGCGTCATTGCCTTGCCTTATATTGCTTTGTTAGTTTATATTCCGACTATTTCTGTTGTTAGGAAGACTGTTAGAACACCTAAAACATAGAGCTTTTTCCATGGCCCTTTCTGCCTTTGTCCGTATGCATGTAGTCAGAGTGGTTGCAGACTTCGTGTTTTGCTTGATTCCCTTTACACCATGTCATGAAAGGTTTTCCATGTTATTGATTCCAGTAAGCCCTCGAAGTTAAGTCCCAATTGACAGTAACTGTCTGCCCCGTTCCCCATCAGCCCCAGGCAGTTGTGACATGTAGCAGGTTATCGCTGAGCTGAGGCAGGATGGTGAGTCACTCAGCTGTGAGAAAGCCCCCTGCCCCTGAACCCCACTGTGCATGGTGGATGTCTTCAGAACTGGGTTTCTTTGGCTATCGTGAAAAGAAGAAAACTTCAGTGAAAGTTGGAAAAGCAATTTATAAGTTGTGATAGGCACAGAAAATGTGGACTTTTGCTCCGAATGTAATTGGAGACAAGGTCAGAGCCTCATTCTCAGAACTGGGGGTGGCCAAAGGTCTGGGACTTCACCATTAAAACTCACAAGGGCTTCGTGTAATTTTCGAAATTGGTGTCTGTACTCTTAAGTCGTTCACTTTGCAACCTCATCCTCTACTGCTCTCATAATAAGGGAAAATGGAGCCCGGGACCATCTCTCTGATGAGTCTTTTGTGAATGACTAAGAAAGCGCTTACACTATAAGATTTAATAGCAAGAAAGGTAATTTCTACAGAATGGATTTCTTTTCCAAATAAAACCCTCAGTTTTCCAGAATTGTTGAACATTAAGATTCTTAAGAGCACTATGAGGGTTCTCATCCAAATGGCTGTGTGTCCTTGGAAAATTGCTCACTCTCTAGGAATTACTTTTCCTCTAGAAAATGAGAAAATTAGATTATGTTACCCTGGAAGTTGCTTCTAATTCTAATGTTCTATGAGTCTAAATTTTGCTTCACCTCCAGAGCCTTTGATGTTAATGCTGCCCATGGATCCACTGCATAATGTTTCCGTTATATAGTCAAGAAGGTTTTGTGTTTGGGGTTTTTCTAAGGCATAAATACTGAGTTTAGGTTGGTATTAGAAACAATTTAAAATAAGGACGGTAATTTCCTTACTCAGCGCTTTCTACCCTTGGGAAAAAACGTGCCTGCAATATCGTGCCCTCTGCGGTTTTCTTCTTCTCCCACGAGACGTCTCCAGCACATTCCACTCTGAGGCGTGTACCCGCCTGGGTTCCTTGACTGGCTCCAAGTGCTGTATGCCTAAAATCAGGGTCCTGGTTCTCTCTATGTTCAAATCAAAATTGTTTGCCGTTCCTGCTTGTATCTTCCTCTCCTCAGCAGACACTAAATGACAGGAAATTACACTAGTAATATGTATCGTTCGAGTCAATAAATGTTCTTACCTGGGCATTTCTCTCTTTGTTGATCCTTTTAAACAGGGACCCAAATGAAGTATTTTTTTCTTCCTTCTTTTAATTAACTGCTAGAATTATTAGTACAATATCCAGCTTGTGTCCTCGTGTTACACGCTTTAATGTCTCTGGAAAGAGTCGCTTGTGCAGTGACCCACAGAGGTCGTCAGTCTCATCTTCCGTTTCTCTTACTAACTAGATGACTTTCTTCTGGGTTTATTTTGTCTTTAAGAGCTCTCAGGGGAAAGTATTTTATAACTCTTTGTGCCAACCATGTTACGGTCAGGAGCAGCTTCTCCAAATTATTAGTAATAACAACCAACATGTATTATATGTTACTATGTCGTGAGTCCTGTTCTAAGTGTTTTTTAATATATTAACTCATTTAATCCTTACAACGTGCGATATGATAGGTACTCTTAGTATTCCACTTGACAGAGGAAGAAACTGAGGCAAACATCAGGTAAACAACTTTGCCAGGATACACAGTGTCAAGCCAGGGTTCAAATTCAGGCAGGCTTGCCCATTTTCTTAATGGGAAACCTGTGACATTATCCCCATATTGCAGATGAGCAGGTAAAGTCATTTGCCCAGCTCCCCACAACTGGTAAGTGGCAGAGCCAGGGTTCAAACCGAGGGAGGCTTCAGAGGCCACTGACATAGTCACGGGTGTGTTGTTTCCCATGCCTTAGATGTGCCCCCTCCTCTCTGGTTCATTCGTTCAGTGAGCTGCTAGGGGAACAAGAGACAAACCACTTGCCTTCAAGGAGCAGGAATATTTTAGGAATAGAGACTTGGAAATACATCAAAAATGCTAAAAAGATTAAGAAAAAAAAAGTCTTGTGAAGCTAAAAAGGGGAATTTTTTAGAAATGTATGTTAATACTGTAAAATCTAAATTATTAAATATACAAATGGGATGAAGCCAATCTAAATGTGTAAAAATGTTTAATTGCAGTATATTTTATGAAATAGTACTTTTCTACCTTCAAGCAAACACATGTAATAACTCCCCTTGCAAGTAGAGAGGGCCATAGGGGCTTGCTTTAATAAAATGAAAGAAATTATGTAATTAACATGTTAATTATCAATAAATGAATTTGTATGGGAAAAAGAGAACTGAAATCAATTTTATCTTCATAGCCTTTATATTTCTTAAGGACAAAGACTATCTTATTTGCTTTTGTGTTCTCTAGAACAGTCTGTCACCCTGACTGTCCACAAGTATTTTTTTGCATATTGTCACTAATTGCAAAAAATGAGGATCTAGCCTTAGTTTTGCTATGAATAAGCGGTATTACTCTTGGGCAACTAACAATAATTCTGAGCCTAGATTCCACTTGGTTGTCACTCACTTGTATGGTAGTGTCTGGGCCACCACATACAGCTGCTCAGGTTGTACACTGACGCAGCCCTGGTATTATACCTTAATTTGTACAGTGTGTGTCTTAGGAAGCAGGGGACTTATAAGTAGGTGAGTCTGATGAGCCTTTTACTTCTAAATTACTTGGTAAAAGGTGTTTTTGAGAAGGGTTTAAGGTTTTTTGCTCTAAAATAAATTAGATGCCATCTGAAATCTCCCTTCTCCCTTCATTCATTAAAATATGTTTCTTCTAAATTCAGCAAACTTTAAATGATATCTAGTTGAAATGAGTGCACTTCCAAAGTAGTGAATGACACATGAATAATCTTACAACTATTTCAGTTCAAGAGGAACGACGTATAAATGTCACTAGTTGGCGGCCCACTAGCTATTGGAGAGTACCTTACAGGCCCATGACAACCTTGGTGTCACCATGACCCAGGATTTCAGTCTCCGCTCTTGTAAGTCCAGAACCTCATCTTATTATCGAATTAAGCTAAATTCAGCCTCTCTTCTACAGAGGTGAGTGTGTCTGCCATGTGGATTCATTTTTCTTCCCCGGCCAGTGCTGCAGATTGACAAGATCTTGTGCTTTGGCTTTCCAAAGGCGGATTTCTGTGCAGGTCATTCCCTCTCCAGTTTACTCATTTTATTCTTGAAATGGGTTGTAATACACTTGATGTGATTACAGCTTCCTGTTCCTTTAACTGTATTTTGTGGTTAAATGAAGAGGGCTAGGCAAAAGTATTAATTCCATATTCTATGCTGCTTTGTTATTAAAGAAATATTCTAAATCTCTACCTTGCTAACCTTAGAAAAAACAGAAATTGAAGTAGATCATTTTATAGCAAAAGATAGTTACTGCAGTCTTCTTTTGATGCTCAAATTTAGCCTTCGAGTTACAAGATTTAAGCGTGAATTTTTCTTAACAGACTGATAAGCATCGTGATTTTATCAAAACCTGGGAAGTGGGAAAGAAGTAAGGAAAATTT